ATCAACTAATATAAAAACTTACCACTTATATGTTAAATTAGCATAACAATAACAATAATACAATATTTTACCTAGTAATCCATATATTTTGTTGATATATGATATTAAAAGATATTATAACGTAATCAAACTATTGATATTTAGTCATATATTCTGTTAATATATGATAATTGCACCAACATATATATCTTAGAATATTGTTTAACTACTTTAGGTCAATAATGTTGAATGATTCTTATTGCACCATTCTACTTAGTATATTTGTCGAGCCAGGGACGTACATAAACCTCCCATGCTCAGAAGTTTGATTAGTGTAAAGACAATGCTTGTGCGACTATAACTATGGTCAAGATGTAATTGGTTTTATGTTTGCAATTGGATGGGTTGTTTGGCCATAATGTTTGTGCGTCTTTGGTAGATTGTATGTGGTCATTTTTTACCTTGGAGGTGGATTGGCCATTTGGTCGAGCTTTGGATGGTCGTCTTTGACCATGGATGTTGTCTTGAGAGCTTTGAATTATTAACTTAGGCAGGCTCGGGTGCCTCCTGAGTAGGCTTAACTTAATGATACCGTTTAGGTAGGTTAAGGTGTCGTCTCAGCGAGCTTAACTTATACTACTGTCAAGGGGGACTCAGGTGTCGCGTCTGCAAGCTTAACTTGTGGTACCGTCTGGGTACCCTTGGATGTTGAATTTGTGGGCTTAACTTATGTTACGGTCTATGTAACTCAAGTGTCACATTTGCAGGCTTAACTTGTGTTACCGCTTAAGTAACTCGGGTGTCACATTTATATTGTCTGGTAACTCACGGGTGTGATATCGCTGTCGTTGATGCGATCAAATTAAAACTACTAAAATTTAACAACTTCAGTATTGTTAAGATAGTATCCAAAAAATAGAAAGGATAATATCAATCCTAAGTTGTCTCCCAACCAACACATAATTGATTCTTAAAACAATTAGTTCTTATTAAAACTATACAAAAGGGTTAGTAAAATAAAATAATAGAAGTAATAAAAGAAAGTGAAAGATTAAAGAATAAAATAACAAAAGATAGAAAGAAATAAATTTATAAAAAGATTTAAAAAGATAAAAACAATGATAAAGAAAATAGGTTGACTTCATTGCTTTTTCAAAATAGGATTCATCATTGGTTATTTAAACATTCTTGTTAAATTAATTATTGTCTTAGATTTTCAAATTAATCAATGTAAATTCTCAATTAATTTGTTGGTATTCTCAGTATTAACCAAAGTACATTATCAATTAAAAACAAGAACTTTGTAGATTAATCATAGTAAATTTAACTAAAGTACATTCTCAATTAAATATTACTATGCTTAATCATATCTATTATGTTACCTCTTATATCAAGTCTAAAGATAATTAACCAAAGTACATTATTGATTAATTCTTGTTAAAGTTTTGACCTCTAATCAAAGTACATTTCTTTCCCAAATCAAGCAAACGAAAGAAGGTACGTTTCTTTCCCAAGCTAAATATTACAAAGAAATCCTGAAGAATTTTGAAATGGATAAAGCTAAGGAGGCATCCACTCCTATGGCTACACCATGTTATCTTGACAAGGATGAATCATGTACACCCTTAAGCCAAACTCTATATAAAAGAATAATAGGTCCATTGTTATATCTTTCTGCAAGTAGGTCAGATATCATGCAAAGTGTGTGTGTTTGTGCTAGGTATCAAGCTAGTCCTAGAGAGTCTCACCTTAATGCAGCTAAGCATATCCTTAAGTACCTTAAGGGGATTGTTTCTTTTGGGTTGTGGTATCCTTCTGTGGCTGAACCTAGTCTTGTAGGGTTTTCAGATGCAGACTATGGTGGTTGTAAGATAGATTGAAAAAGCACTAGTTGTACATGTCACCTCTTGGATAGTTCCTTAGTTTCTTGGAATTATAAGGAACAAGCTTGTGTAGTCATTTCCACCACAGAGGATAAGTATATTGCTACAAGTAACTGTTGTGCCCAAATATTATGGATGAAACAACAATTAGAGGATTTTGACATATACCTTGACCATATACCTCTTAAGTGTGATAACACCAGTGCCATCAATCTTACTAAGAATCCCATTAAGCACTCTAGAATCAAACATATAGAGATTATGCATACTTTCTTAGAGACAATATCCAAAAGGGGGATTATGAGATAGAGTATGTTGATACCAAACACCAATTAACTAATATTTTCACCAAAGCATTGCCCAAAGAGAGATGATGATTATATATGGGATAGTCAATGAGATAAAGATTCATTGGCCAAGCCTCATCTGCGACACTATGATGAAAGCTAAAAGGTACAATCATTATCATCTTCCCTATGCTCTTTTGGTTTATACGATTTGTGAATATAAGGGAGTAGATGTCTCAACTGAGGCATTCCAAAGCACTCATCCCGAGAGTCAGATAGGGAGTTCTTCCCTCCGTCAGATGGGTTTCGTCTTGTAAGGCAATACCTACCTCCATTGTGATGATGTGGGGAACCTAGAAGATGAAGACGAAGACCACCAGATGGAGGATATCCAAGATGAAGCGGAACTGTCTGCACTACCTCCAACCAGTAATTCTTATTCCTTAGAGAGTCTGTTTAGGCAATTATCCGACATGTCTCTTCTTCAAGCCTTTAGGCATGAGGAAGTATGCTCTCTTCTTAGCAGTATAAATGATAGGGTCAATGCATTAGAGGACTTAGTTCAACCTCAAGATGATGATAGTAGTGATGAGTTTTAGTCATCCCTCATGCATTTCATTTGCATTTGTATCTCTTCCATGTTATTTTATGTTTTAATTCCCTTATTGAAAATTTGCCTTAATGTTTATCTTGTCTTATTTTTTTATGGCTTATATCAAGGGAGAGTTCTCCAATTTACGGGGAGAAATTTTTTTAATCAATAATGATAAAAAAGGGGAGAAGTATGTTTAAAAGATTTAATTATATTTATAATTATATTTTTTCTCTTGTCTACTAATTCCTTTATTTAAGTTATGTATGAGTTACATATTAGTACATGTTATAAAAGGCTTTAAATCAAAGTAAATCAAAGAGATTTTTATCATCATAAAAAAAGGGAAGATTGTTAGCATAAAGTTGAAGAGAATAAGTTTTGATGATGTCTCAAAGTTAACTCTCAAGTGCTCTTGTTGCATGAAGACCTTCATGAAGACTTGTCTTGTGTTAAAGCTTTTTGTAATTTAGTAGATTTATGTATAGAATGTGGTTTATCTTTGATTCTATATATTGTTTGCCTTAGATTACGTTATAATTCGCTTTGAATAAGAAAACTTCATTTTATACTCAAGATAATCGATTATCAACTTATAATAATCTTTTTTCAAGAATTTATTATGACATGCCATAATCGATTATCATGAGCAATTATAAGAATTTTTAAGCAAGTTTTTTATCATTGTACATTCATTAAATGCATAATTGATTATCACACGTTAAATAGCTGACAACGGATTTTTGGAGTTATCATTGAGTGAGATCTCTATACATTAGATTGAAACTTGTTACCAATGAGAAACATTGATGATTTGAAGAGATTTTGATGATGATGCACTTGAAGCCTTGAAGAATTAATTACATACATTATTAAAGCATTTGTATAGAAAACCTTGTATTAGACTTTTGCTTTCACTTGTACATAAAAAGACTTGTAAATTGCTTTTTAGTGTAGCTATATTGTGGCAATAATCGATTACCATGAAGGATAATTGATTATAATGTGTAAAACGTGAAAAACACTTCAAATCGACAATAATCGATTATCTCACAGGATAATCGATTATCACCGAAAGATATAATTGAGCAGGGTTCGACAATAATCGATTGTCACTAACGATAATCGATTATCACTTTTTTTAAAACCTTATAACGACAAAAAATAATCGATTATCACTTTTGTTAATCGATTATTACTAGTAGTTGAGAGCTACTTTTTCAGTTTCTGACCCCTGACTTATAAATAGAAGTCAAGTTATTCTTCATTCCATCGTGTGTCGAAGGAAGGTGGGTCATCTCTTATCCGTTAAGAGAGGTGTTTTCTACTTCACTTTGTTCATTACTTATATTGTATTGTTAAACCAATTTTAGTGAAAGGTTAATCACGTATTTTAACGTGATTAACAAATTTAATAAAAAAGCAATATTGATTGGTTAATAACATCTAAGCCAACTATATAAGGGATCGACACCACTCTTTACCCAAAACCTTAAGGCAATGAATTAATGGGTCTTTCAACTTTATATACTGTTCTACTTTCTCATTTCTATCCAATATGGGACTTAGACTCATACTTCGATTCCCAACCGAGGGAGCCATCAACATCCTTGCAAATTTTTCTTGTGTAATTTTTTCTTAATAACTTAGTGAAAAAAAGTACCTCTGCATCAACATCAAACTCAGAATCCAGTTCCACCTCCTTGCCTTGTTCACTCATCCCCATGTATCCTTCCCCCGCTCTCTTTGAAGGAGCTCTTCTATTGTTTCCACTCCCCATCTTTTTCTGCATCGTTTTCTCCATGAATGTTGTGCTTCAACATGGTTAACAAATGGCCAATAACATGTCATAATGCGAAAATTCGGTAGGTTTTACCGTTCTTTCTACAATTATCTGTTTGGGCACTTTAAACGGCAGATCAGTAATATCTTCAGAAGATGGAGACTCACTTCAACTTAATCTTTCAATGTGCACATTGTTACCTTATTTAATATTGAAAGATAAACTTCCATTATTGGATTACTTTCTCATTATCATCTAAACCTTTGAATATTTCAAAAAGATCATATTCCATCTCATCAAAGAATTTGGTCTAAAAACATTCAATTTTCAGTAACAAGACTATAACATGAAAAAAAACATGAAACTATTATGGAGGTAAACGTGACTAAAAAAATATATACTCTGTAATCGAAAACTCTTTACAGGTTACATTCAAAGAGCTATATGAATTGAAATCGTGACGAAACGATTTTTTTTTAGCAACCTCAAACACCTTATTATTACATGATACAAAGCAGAAAGAGTTAACTAAAAACATAACATGGAAACAAATACATCTATATTCAAAGTTTAAAATTGAAATAGCTGTTTTAGATTGTAAGGGCTTGTAACAGTGTGATTTCCATTCCAGATGAAGTCTGCGAAATACTGGCTAGCTCTATCAGTGACATGATTAGAATCGTAGAACAGATGTTCATTGACATTGTCACATAACTCGTATTCTTTGATCCCTTTCCTTCCTCCACAGCTACCATCTCCTCTGTATGGTCCACCTCCACAACATGCCACACTCGGATCTTTGAAACCTTCAGACAAAGCCAAAACAGTGATTACAACATCCTCAGAAATAAAATTTAATGGAACATGGCTTTTGGAAATACCATATTTTGTAGGATTGTTCAGCATTTCAGAAAATATAGCATAGAAATCAGTGACAGAATATTTGAATCCCTTGAGCTGTTTCTCTAGCTCAGCAATCCTTTTTGAGAGTGCAGTGTTGTGTAGTCTTGCGATGGCTGAAAACTCTTCTAAGCATGTGCTTCCATTTTTCACCAGAGCCCTCACAGCAGGTAAACAACCAATTGGACCCACATTAGCAAATCCAAATTTCCTTCCACCAAGATTATAGATTTCCTAAAATTATATCATACCAACATT